CCATGTATTTAGATGGTCAATAAATACAAATTATGCCATTAATTTGCTAGTTAAAAGTAAGGAATAATTTCAAAAAGTTAAATTAAAATGTAGTGACTTTAATGTTACTGTTAAACAACTTAACAATTTTCAAGATTATGAAATATTAAAACAAAAAATGGTTAAATTTTAGATATAGTTAAATTAAAATATAGTGACATAGATTTTCGTTAGTAAAAATGTTCGGATTACTGGCAGACACTTATCTGGTCCGGGTTGACGGTCGAGGAGTTACGGCTTTGACTGGGCCGTTGATGAGAAGATACTACTGCTGGACACCATACAGCACGGCTTGAGCTCGGGATCTCTTATATCCTCGCGGTAGCCTCTTAAATTTGTCGGTATCCTATTTTATGGAAGGTATCGCCCTGTTACTCTTGTTAATTTCCGATATCTTTTTTTACCAGCTTTAACCTCTTTAGTACAGCCCAATTGTCTCTTCTTTATGAATACCGGTATCCTCTTTTCTGTAGGCCGGTATCCTCTTTCGTGTAGGCCGGTATCCTCTTTTCTTTGCCACTCTCCTCTTCTCTTTGCTGCTCTCTTCCTTTTATATAGGCCGGTCTCCTCTTTTGTCATCAAAGTATGTGTTTGTTATCAAACGCACACACACACACAAAATGAATCAATCTCAGCGGTGATTGAACAAGAAAAGACCGATTTGTTTTGGCGAAAGAATACTTAAAGGCCAAATTTCATCGCAAGACCGCAAAAAACCCAAATTATTGATTTAACAAGTGACCTTGAAATAACAACGGCACCAAGACCGTACATTACTAGGAAATACAAGGCCCTCTCAATGGCACACCTTTTCACTCCTATTTAACTGCGGTTGGGAGGGAATACGCTTACAAAAGGGAAAAGAGAACGTTATGCATTTGCATACCTCTCTTCCGACGCAACCACGCTACCACCCATTAAAGAGATGGAGGATCTGATTGAATACTGCCTGGAACAGAAGTTTGAGCTGGTAATAGGTAGTAGGTTGCGACTCAAACGCTCATCACCTCAGTTGGGGCAGTAAGGATAACAACGCTAGAGGTAATTCACTTTTTGGTTATATAATTACCATAAATCTTTGTATTTTGAATAAAGGTACTACACCAACATTTTTAAACCCTCTCAGTCAAACACTAATAAATATCACTTTATTAACAACTGGTATCTATAAATCAATTCTAAACTGGAAAGTGTCTGATAAAATTTCGATGTCAGACCACCGCTAGTTGACATTTAAAATAAACCTGATGCTGCCGACCTCCACGCTATCTCGGAACCCTAGGAAGACGGACATGGCAACCTATGCCCACCTTTTCCAAAATCTCTGAGAGAGATGGAGGCCGAAACACCAAATAACAATGCTTTGGAGAAGTATTCGGAACACTATCCAAAGCGCAATAAACAATTGCTATATAAAATCCTGTCCTCTGAGGCTGGTCCAACACGATCATATGACTACCGCATGGTGGTGTCACAAGTTGGATCACCTCAGGAAGATGGCTATGAAATAATTTAAGACAAGACCAACAAAACTCAAAGAGGACTGGGATACCTACAAATCTCACCTCAGAGAATACAAAAAATCGTTAGACAAAAACAGAGAGATGCATGGAGATCTTACTGCGAAGAAATCGAAGATTTGTTTTCGAATTTTCAAATTATTTCTAGTTGAGTTATTTATTTGAAAAATTTATTTATTTGAAAAGTTAGTTATTTATTTGAAAAAGGTATTTATTTGAAAAAGTTATTAACCTATTCCAAAACTTTGAAAATACCCTGTATAGAATTAACATAAATAATGTCAGAAATTAGTTGATGGCCACTGAAATCTCGAAACTTGTAGAAAAATATTTCAACTAAATTGTAACATCCTTCTGCAAATTGATAGTCTGTCACAATAGTCGAAAAATAAAAAACTTGTAAAAGCTATAATTTAGGCAACACCGCCGGGCTTCTAATAAACTGTGTGATATATATTTTGTTAAATATACACCACCGAAATAATAAAATATTACAATTTTATTTTATTTCCAAGTCCCGACCCCTCCCGCACAACCGGGCTTCGACTGGTCTACGTGATGTGATGGGCTTCGTGATGATAGCCGTGCATATATATATATATATATATATATATATATATATATATATATATATATATATATAATTTCTATGCCTTAATAATTTTTTTAAAGACATGATTATTATAATAAAACTGAAGTAAACTAGAATTTAAGATATTATTTATCATTCTTCCAAATCTAAACTGGTGCGTGCGTTCAAATAAAAGCTATTTGTTATATTATTTTTTATAATTCTTATGTACATAATTTCTGAAAAATGGACCGTATTCCAAATATTTGAGAAAATGTATAAATTTCGAATTTTGAAGAAAACTCAAAAAGGGATAAAGAGAAAATCATCAAATTATAAACTTAAGCTTTATTCTGGCTTGCAGTTAATTGATTAGATTTTTGGCAGAGTAAAAACATCTGGGGGGGGGGGGATACATTATAAGGGGTCTTTTTTATATTTTATGGAATAGGTATATCTGGTATTTACGTTTGGAGATGAAAACTCTTTTTATGAAAGTTACTTCTAATATTATTCTTTATAATTTCTGTTATATACAAAATTTTCCTAAAATGGTCTGTATTTGAGAAATTTGACAATTTTGTTGTTTGCGATATCGATTTCTATAATTTTTGTCTCATACATAATTTCTCTTATATGGACCATACTGGAAAAATTTAAGAAGTGTAAAATTTTAATTTTTTAGTATTGTTGTTGGCAATGAATACTCGTATACATAAAAAAAATGATTTGAGTATGTGGAACATGTATATATTTAGTTTATCCTCTAAATAGTTACAGAGGTGATACAATAGATTGTAAAAAATAAATAACTAGATGGGAAAGTCATGAGTTAGATTTTTTTTATAAATATAATGATTTAAATAGTACTCTTTGATTAGATATTTTCATATTTGACGTATATTATTTTGTAATATTAAATGATTTTTACTATAAAATAACATTTATATCTAGCATTTTTAAGATTATCTTATCAAAAGACTAATTTTTAATAATAATATTATTTATATAAATATATTTCAAGAGAAAAATAATGTAATAATTTAGTTAGTTTAGATAAAATAATACTCGTTTCTGAAATATAGGGTGGTATAATTCTTTTATTCCTTAGTATAATTTTACTAAATTCGGCAACAATTTTTAGTGTCATAAGCAAAAAAATCAGTTAAATAAACTTTGCCAGTGGCGTATAGCATGGATAAGTAACACAATTCATCCGGCTCTAAATTTTACGCCACTGTTCAAAAACTCATTTAAACTATAATTTTAAATTTTTTAAATAAATAATGTACATTTGTTGTGAACTCATAAAGTCATTGGTTTTCGAGATATTCACACTCAAAGGTGGATATTCTTCATTTTAATTTATTTTTTATTTAAAATTTTGGATTTTTTATTAATTCCCATAAAGTGTACATGATTTATTCAGAAAAATCAAAAATTCAAGATAAGTTTTTGAAAAGTGGTGTAAAATTTAGAAGGGATAAGGTGTTACTTACCCATGCCACCCAGGCAGCAGACTAACGTCATTATGACATCTTATTTTCGTCATACAGGACGTCATTTATCCTCCGAAAACTAACGTCATAAAGACGGTAAAATGACATGAATATGTCACAGCCCAAATGACGTCATATTTAGACGTCCTTTTCTCGTCTAAATATGACGTCTTTATGATGTTTTCTAGTAGTCTTTATAACGTCCTTATGACGTTTTTATATCGTTGTTTTAATGTCACCTTTTTCGTTATTTGAGACGTTCACCTTGACGTTATATTTGATGGTTACTCCTTTGTAACTTTTCGATAGGAACTGCGGGTCACTTAATAAAACAAAATTAGCAAATGAAATAATTATAATTAAAAAGAAAAAACAGTTTAAATACATGAAATATTATTGGCAAAAAACATTAATTTGCATAAATCTAACTGCTCCAAATGTGGCCAACTTGTTCGTTATTATTTTGTCTTTAACACAATTATTTAGACTATGAGTGCCGCCATTTTATACTATTACACGAACCTGGGAACATTTTAGGAAACAGCATATGAATGTAATAGACATAAAATCATTAAAGAATAAGGAAAATATAGATATAAAAATACTAAAAGTCACATACCTTATACTGGGTTATTAATTGATATAATTTTTTTCACTGACCTTCTTTTAACTTTTAACGACAATCCTGAATGCATACGTGCCACGATCCACGATGCACACACATGGCCGATGCAACAATCTGCGATACCGTTCTCGTGCTTACTCGATCGGCTCGAACACACACGAGCCATAACCACAGACAGACGGAGTCCTGTGACACGTGGTGTCATACATCTTTATGCATTTTAAGCGTCATATTTAAACGTTAAAAAACCTAAGAGTTTTAAAAAATAATTGGTTAGGCCATATCATTTTACATAAATAAAATGTATTGAAATCACGTTTAATATAAACCTTAATTTAATAGTGACAATACATTGACGTCAGACTGACGTCAAATTTGTGACGTCAAAAAGACGTTAAAGAAGTGACGTCATAATCACCTTTGGTAACATGACGTCGATGACCAAGAATTACCAAAAAATGTCGTCAAAGTTTCGTCAGTCTGCTGCCTGGGCATACACCACTGGCAAAGTTTTTTTAACTGATTTTTTGCTAATAGGTGTATCATATGACACCAAAAACGTTTGCTCTATATTTAAAAAAAAAAATAAAAAAAAAATTATTATTAAATTTCGGAAATTAGTAATATTTTATTCAAGCATGTTATGTTTATTTGCTTTATTTTTAATTACATAATCTTCAGTGTCCCATTTTTAATGAGACACCCTGTATAAAATATACTATTTTTTAAATTAGATTAGATTAAAACTTATGTTATAAGTGATGTACCTACTTAAATATAAGAAATTTGTTCGTAGTTAAAATTTAAAAAAAAAATGTTTCTATTACTTATTTTAATTTTTGTGCCAAATTTCCTGCTTGCAGTAAGTATACAGAGTGATTTTTTTATGAATGACCCAGCCGGATAAATTTCTCAGAACATTGAAATGTCACGAAGAACCACAAAACTTGTCAATGTTCATTGAGAGGGAATAGTATATTGTGCAACGAGTGGGGAAAGTTCAACTTTTTTCACGAGTGTGGAAATTTGTGTCACGAGTCTGAAGGGCGAGTGCCGCAAACACACGAGTGAGAAAAAAACTTTCCCCACATGTTGCACACTATACTTTTTCTACAACTTTACAAATTTAAAGAATACAAAAGTAATGTAACTTAATATTTATTTTTATGGTTAGCAAAACTAAAATAACATTAAAGTTAAATAATTTATTTAAAATTATAGTTAATAGTAAAATTAGTACAATTTTGTATGGTCAAACCCGGAATGTCATTTCTATTTAGTAAGTTTTCTGTTATATTGATTGTAGAACTTGAGGGTTGATCATTTATATACGGTGCATTTTCTGTCTCCATTTTAGTAAAGAGTTCAAGTGGTTTTTCAATAGAGTTGACGATTTTAGCAACGTCAATTTTATTTTTAATAGATTCCCAGACGTATCCTTCTGCCACGGTACTGGATTTCCATCCTCTATGGCGTTTTATGGTTAATATGTCCCCTCCTGCATTTACTAAAATTGTTGCCGAAGAACGTCTGAATCAGTGACCTGTGTATAGATGGGGATTTTCCAATTTAAAAAAAATTGCAATTGTCTTAGCCATACTACCGAATTTATTAATGCCGACTAACTGTCTAGTGCATTTTGCGTGCTGTTAATTTAAAAAGAAACGTTTTTCTGGCAAATCAATCGGTCGAAGAGCAGCATATTTTTTGTGTATACATATATTATAAAATTCTCTCGTTATAGTAAAAGTTCTTGGCTTTTTTGTTTTGGTGTTATCTAATTTCACCAGTAAAGCCGAATTTAAATCCTCTAAATTATCGATTTTTAATTTCCACAACTCTTCTCTACGACATGCCCTTGCTACAAAAAAAAAATCAGGATGTAATATTAAAAAAGAAAAAAAGAAAGAAAAAAAAAAAAAAAAGAAAAAAAACGGTTCAGCCCGGGTCTTCAACCCGAGTCCCATGTGTGCAAAGCGGATACACGTACCACTGCACCACTGAGCCTTTCTAACAGAATTTGAAATAAAATTTTTAATAATTATCTAATTCTTTTTATCTACTAAAAAAACCCAATGATTACAAAAAGCTATGTTAATTCGATGAAAAAAGTGAAATAAATTCTATAAATAGTTCTTTCTAAATAAACTTACCTTTATTAGTAGGTATTCTTTGACTGGATCTTTGTTTAAATATCTCTACAATTGGTTGGTTGTCAATATTTTCGATTTTTTGGGGATGTAATTATCGACTTTCTTTTCAAATATGAACGTAATTTTTGATACGTAGTCATATCAATGTTAGTTTTTTTATACTGATGGTACTTCGCAACATTGAATATTGTGACCAAAGTGTAGACACCTTTAAAGTTTTCGACAGCTCTTCAAAGTACACTTTCCGAAAAATATTTTATGTTTGTATTTCTTCTCCATTCCATAAATTTACCGTATTTCAATTCATACTTTTTTCTTGAAATTACCGGCAACAAATCTAACGTTACTTTTTCAGCTTTTACCGATATCTTTGGTGGAGTATTATCAAAATCGTCACTACTGTCAGTATCCATATTATTTATTATAAATTGGCATGTCTTATTAAAATAATATTTAACGGAAATTTCGATTTTCATTTGTGAGTTGACAGTACCCTAATCGATGGTAGAATGCGTCTACCACATTTCTCTATGATTGTTTTATTTATTTAAGGCCTTCCAGACTACATAAAATCATAAATATTACATATGGTTGAACTCGTATTAAATAGGAGATTCCAATAATGACTGAATATAGAGGGTGATGAATTTGAAAAACCAAAGTGACCAATAATTTAAGAGAACCGGCAAATCTGGCAACATTGCAAATATCAAATCTGGAATCTCCGTATCCTAAAATAGGTATACCCCAAATTTTGTACAATTAGGATTAGCAATTTAAGAGATAATTGGCCGTTTCCAGACTTTTGGGCCACTCCGTATATATAAAAATTTCGTGTCATGATGTATGTTCGCGATAAACTCCGATACTACTAAACGAATATTGATAAAATTTGGTAACTATCTGTAATTTGGTCCAATTTAAAAGAAGGGATAGTTTTTATCTCAATTATTGACTTCAATATTTGTTATTGCAAATTAAATGTTTATTATACGACAATTAGGAATTCCAACGACCTGTCAAACAATAGCTGACCGCGGGAAGGGTTAGTAAATTAAAGAGGTTGCGGCATAACCTTCCATCTTGGATGCTATTTTTATTTGAAATAATAGTCGCCGAGCCTGCCAATTTATAGAAAATGTATAAGCGGTTTTTTTAAAAATAATATTTTCATTGTGTTCAACATAAAATATTTAAATTTCATCCATTATTTATGATTTCATATAATGCAGATAGACTACATCGCGTTTCATTTGTTTGGAATGCCTAAATATTGTGTATTTATTGGTTAGTTCTATGAATTCCTAATAGATGAAGGTGAAGACTTTCGCCTTTTTAAATATAGGAACTTGAAAATTGAAATTACAGCTACTTATAAATGCAAATAATGACGTATTTCAAGATTTTTGGATTTACGCATTTAAAAGAGGGGGGCATGGGAAGTATCATAAAAACCCTATTACTACATAAATGCGAAAGTTTGGAGAAAGGGGGAAATAGAGGAAATAGGGAAAGGGGGAAAGGGAGAAAGGGAGAAAGGGTACAAGGTGGAAAGTAGGAAAGTGAAAAAATAGGGAGAAGGGGGAAGAGGGATGAAAGTATTAATAAAAATTAATAAAAATTAATAAACATTAAAAAAATTAATAAAAATTATAAAAATTAATAAAAATTAATAAAAATTAATAAAAATTAATAAAAATTAATAAAAATTAATAAAAATTAATAAAAATTAATAAAAATTAATAAAAATTAATAAAAATTAATAAAAATTAATAAAAATTAATAAAAATTAATAAAAATTAATAAAAATTAATAAAAATTAATAAAAATTAATAAAAATTAATAAAAATTAATAAAATTAATAAAAATTAATAAAAATTAATAAAAATTAATAAAAATTAATAAAAATTAATAAAAATTAATAAAAATTAATAAAAATTAATAAAAATTAATAAAATTAATAAAAATTAATAAAAATTAATAAAAATTAATAAAAATTAATAAAAATTAATAAAAATTAATAAAAATTAATAAAAATTAATAAAAATTAATAAAAATTAATAAAAATTAATAAAAATTAATAAAAATTAATAAAAATTAATAAAAATTAATAAAAATTAATAAAAATTAATAAAAATTAATAAAAATTAATAAAAATTAATAAAAATTAATGAAAATTAATAAAAATTAATAAAAATTATTAAAATTAATAAAAATTAATAAAAAATGAATAAACATTTATAAAAATTAATAAAAATTAATAAAAATTATTAAAAATTATTAAAAATTAATAAAAATTATTAAAAATTAATAAAAATTAATAAAAATTAATAAAAATGAATAAACATTTATAAAAATTAATAAAAATTAATAAAAATTAATAAAAATTAATAAAAATTAATAAAAATTAATAAAAATTAATAAAAATTAATAAAAATTAATAAAAATTAATAAAAATTAACAAAAATTAATAAAAATTAATAAAAATTAATAAAAATTAATAAAAATTAATAAAAATTAATAAAAATTAATAAAAATTAATAAAAATTAATAAAAATTAATAAAAATTAATAAAAATTAATAAAAATTAATAAAAATTAATAAAAATTAATAAAAATTAATAAAAATTAATAAAAATTAATAAAAATTAATAAAAATTAATAAAAATTAATAAAAATTAATAAAAATTAATAAAAATTAATAAAAATTATTAAAAATTAATAAAAATTAATAAAAATTAATGAAAATTAATAAAAATTAATAAAAATTAATAAAAATTAATAAAAATTAATAAAAATTAATAAAAATTAATAAAAATTAATAAAAATTAATAAAAATTAATAAAAATTAATAAAAATTAATAAAAATTAATAAAAATTAATAAAAATTAATAAAAATTAATAAAAATTAATAAAAATTAATAAAAATTAATAAAAATTAATAAAAATTAATAAAAATTAATAAATATTAATAAAAATTATTAAAAATTAATAAAAATTAATAAAAATTAATAAAAATTAATAAAAATTAATAAAAATTAATAAAAATTAATAAAAATTAATAAAAATTAATAAAAATTAATAAAAATTAATAAAAATTAATAAAAATTAATAAAAATTAATAAAAATTAATAAAAATTAATAAAAATTAATAAAAATTAATAAAAATTAATAAAAATTAATAAAAATTAATAAAAATTAATAAAATTAATAAAAATTAATAAAAATTAATAAAAATTAATAAAAATTAATAAAAATTAATAAAAATTAATAAAAATTAATAAAAATTAATAAAAATTAATAAAAATTAATAAAAATTAATAAAAATTAATAAAAATTAATAAAAATTAATAAAAATTAATAAAAATTAATAAAAATTAATAAAAATTAATAAAAATTAATAAAAATTAATAAAAATTAATAAAAATTAATAAAAATTAATAAAAATTAATAAAAATTAATAAAAATTAATAAAAATTAATAAAAATTAATAAAAATTAATAAAAATTAATAAAAATTAATAAAAATTAATAAAAATTAATAAAAATTAATAAAAATTAATAAAAATTAATAAAAATTAATAAAAATTAATAAAAATTAATAAAAATTAATAAAAATTAATAAAAATTAATAAAAATTAATAAAAATTAATAAAAATTAATAAAAATTAATAAAAATTAATAAAAATTAATAAAAATTAATAAAAATTA